ACCACACACACACACACACACACACACACACACACACACACACCACATTCCCACCTGCACCCCTCGTACCAAATGGGAGTTGCCCAGGTAAGTGCCCCATACCCAAACCTCTTCCCCCAACCCTGAGCCCCCTCCCTCATTCTAGCTCCTGGCCAGACCCTTCACCCCCAGCCCTGTGCTCAGTGCACTCCCACTCTCAGCTCAGAGCAGAGAGAGGAAGAGAGTGGGTCAGAACCAGGGAGAAGGTAGGTACTCACTGTATGTGGGCAGGGCAGGGCCGGGACCCCAGACCGGCAGCGGGCTGAGTGGGTCCAGCAGCTGGGATCCCGGCTGGCAGAAGCCGGCAGATGGAACCCCTGAGCGGCAGTGGGCTGAGCTGCTCAGCCCACTGCCGATCTGGGGTCCCGGCCACGCACAGCCTGCTGCTGATCTGGGGTTCTGGCTGCCGGACCCTTGCCACCCGGGGTCCCAGCCGCAGCCCCACTCAGCCCGCTGCCGGCCTAGGTGAACAGAACCCCAGACCAGCAGCAGGCTGAGCGGGCCAGCAGCGTAAGATCAACATTTTAATTTAATTTTAAATGAAGCTTCTTAAACATTTTGAAAACCTTGTTTATTTTACAATACAACACTAGTTTAGTTATATAATATAGAGACTTATAGAGAGAGACCTTCTAAAAAACGTTAACATGTATTACCGGCACGTGAAACCTTAAATTAAAGTGAATAAATGAAGACTCGGAACACCACTTCTGAAAGGTTGCCGACCCCGGTCTATAATGTTTGGGGGCATTAACACAAAGGAGGGAAAGAAATTATTTTGGTGACAAACAGGTTTATAACAAAGTAGTAATTGAAGAAAATTAAGAAAGGGAAAATTTGGGAAAATTTCCCTTTGGGGAGATATATTAGGCTGTGAAATAATGATGGAAGTTCCATCACTTGAAAATTTTAAAACTAGCCTGGACAAAATACTAGAAAATTACTCTCAGGAATTCTGCTTTAGCAGGGAGATGACCTTTTAATAAGGTTTTCCTAACTATACCAGGCAATGCCAGTAGGGTGACCAGATGAGGGGAAGAAAATATCGGGACACAAAGGGGGGGGGGGAGGTGCCCGCCAGCAGAGGAAAAAAAAAAGCCGTGTCCTGCTGCTGAGCAAAAAAAGACAACAGTGCTGCCGGCGGATCACGACACCGAAATATCAGGACATCTGGTCACCCTAAATGCCAGTTATGTATTAAATTTCAGACAACCAAATAGACTTGTAGAGAACCAGTGACTGATGCTCCCTGTACCCCGCCCCTTTTACCAGCAACCATCATTTGATCTCATCTTCTCTGCTAGATTAATCTTTGTTTATAAACCACACTTTTAAAATCACTGAGTGAACCTGAATCTGATTTCATAGGCCATTCTGGGCACAGCACCCAGAAAGTCAAGATGTCTAGCCCAACACTGTGGAAATAGTCTGTCCTGCTATCATTTGCATGCAGGCAAATTCTAAGATTTGCAGATGACAGTTCTGACAATCAGAACATGCTTGCTTCAACAGAGGCCTCTAACATGGGAGAAGAAATAACAAGAGATTTTCTTAAAGTTGGATCCAGTCCAAAATACCAGATTCCCAAACTTTGGGGAAGTTCAGATCTAGATGTGAAATTTGCAGATTCTAGTTTTTCCTATATATTAATATTAAAATTGATATCACTATAGCATGCACCAGGACTCTGTTGTAAAACAATTATTTTGTTTCCTAAAAACCATCCCCAAAATTATTTGGTTTGGTTTTTCATTTAAACTTAACATCATCTACTTACTGAGATACGGGGGTATCTTTATACCACATATAAAGTTTATAGACAAAGATTCTTCCGTAAGTATCCAAATGTCCCTCCCATGCATTGATTTGACTGGCAATTTGGAAAATGTCAGCACTCCAAATGTTTACATGTTCTTTTATACAGTAATTAACTTTTCATACTGTTTATTTCTAAGTTGATGAACAGATGTGTTACTTACCTGTCCTATTGCCCAGCTCTCTCCAAAAACCTGAGCATTTCTCACTTCCATGTTGTTTGATGTAGTCAGATCATTTGAAGTATATTTATCAAAATTTCCACACAAACCTGCTAATTTACCCTAAAACATAAATTGAAAATTTTTAAACATCTTTTGATTGGTTTGTAATTACAGTTTGATTACTGACAGTGGTCAAACATTTTTGGTTTTACTTTTTAAATAGTTTTAAGGGAGAAGAAACTAAATTAATGTTGCCTTAATATCAAGTTTACAGGGTGATTATAACCCTGACCCACACTTTGACGATATTTGAAGTGCCACTATATTTAGACCTCCGAACTAAAGGTTTTAAAAGCAGAAAATTATATTTTCATTTGTTATTCTATTTTCTGCTTCCCAGAATGCATCTTTACTTTCTGACTGAATAAAGGGACTGGGGTCTCTACAAAACTCCCTCTAAAAGCTGACATTTGTACGATCCAAGTCAAAAGCCAAAAGTTCCGATACATTACCGCAAACCATTGGAGTCTGACTAAATAATGATCATTAAGACCTTCTTCCTATATCCAAGTTAGAATAGCGAGGGCATTCATATCAACAGTTATGCACAAGCCAGTCACCTGTAGCACTCTTAATATTGGGGCATGCGCTTTAGGTCCTACTATTGCAGCCCCTTTCTTGGTTGAGCTGAAGTCTCTGAGAAAGGTGTGTGTGAGGGGGAGAAGTGTGTGATGTATTGGTGTCCTTGTATGGGCACTATAACTCCTCTTGGTGAGGGGCTCCTTCAGAACCCCTCTCTGAGCATGTGCATTCACGGTTGACACCTGAGGGTATGTCTACACTCCAGTCAGAGGTGTGACTGTAGCATGTGTAGACAAACCCAAGCTAGCTTGGATCTAGCTAGCTTGAATAACAATAGCAGAATAGCACAGCACAAGCAGCAACGGGCTAGCTACTTAAGTACATACCCAGGAAACTGGGTGGGTTTGTACAGCCTGTGCTGCTGTCACTGCTATTGTTACTGGAGATAGCTAGATCAAAGCTAGATCTGATTTGTCTACATGTGCAGAAGTCACACCTGATTGCAATTTAAACATACCCTTGGTAGGTGCTCAGAGAGTGTCTCCTATTTCTTTTCTAGATCCTTTTCCCTGGCTGGGTGTTTGTCCGTGTTCATTTTAATCCCAAAATGTGAGTATGTAATAAACTGAGCTGTCTCTTCTACAACTGTATCATCTCAGTCTCTTCTCGCCTTAATTTGGGTCACACTAATACCTGAATGTCACAGGAGAGCAGTGGAATGTATTACCAGGGATGTCAATTAAAAACAAAGACAATAATGATTATTCCACAGAAGTCAACAGTTGCATTTGGAGCACTGAAAGCATCTTGACAGTATGCTTCATGCTACTACCTGAAACATCTTTGAATTACTAAAATAACCTGACTGAAAGCAGCTTTACCAGTGTAACACTCCTATGGTTAGAAGACAAGCAAAGATATTGATTTCAATATCTAGTGCAAACCTCAGACTCTACGAGTACTTGTTACTCATTTAAAGCCAGATTCTGACACACTTGCTTATGCCAAATAGTAACTTATTCCTCAAGAACTCCTAATGAAATCACAATTTGGCCTGTATTTATTTTTCTCAATTTGAGATAATTTCATTTTATTATTGCTTATGAGAATTAAAGAATGACAGTGCTAGCTTAACCCAGGAATAGTGTAGGCAGCCAGCATTCAATTTCTTATAGGTTGCTGTAAATGTTGCTGTTACTTGACCTGCAACCTACCAACTGAGATTCTTAGCAGAATGTATTGGGCTGAATTCTGCTAAATTGTACCAAGGTTTTTAGATTATTGATAAATATACACCAAGAGTGAGACCATCAAAGTCATAGAACTTGTGACCACATAATGGCCTCAGCTATGAGGTTCGTATCTGGGAGGAAAAAAATCCAAGTTCAAGGAGTTTATATCCAATATTCTGCTTTGGATCCATCTTTGCTTTGTGATCTAAACCAGGTTTCAAAAGTGCCCAAAGATAAAATGTTAATACACTGAATTCCAAGGGCCTCCCCATATTTCCACCCCACACTGTATTTCTTTCAGTATGAATGAACCTCTTTGTCATATAAAATACATTGTATATCAAGTTTACAATTTGGTTCACCTTCCACCGAGGTCCAACTTTGACATGTATCGTTGTCTTCTTGTCCCACAGGACTGTAATTTCCTGTTCTGGAAAGTGTACCACTGTATAATATCCAGCCTTCCAAAGCTGATATGTTGGGTTTTTTTCCTGTCCCCTGGCGGTTCTCTGTCAGAAATGGATATTTGTGAAAGATCTACAACAGCAATTCTATAATGCAACCAAGACATACAGCCAACTAATAACTAGCCCAAAGAGTATTTTAAAGTATAGCTTAACCCTAGCATGTTATCGAGCAACTAGGGAGCATTGCCTCAGCTGTTTTGTTTTAAGAATTTTTATTTTATTTGTAGTTATTTTGGCTCAGATGCTGCCTTCCGTCACAAAAGCACATGGACAGAAACAAACAAATTCAAAAACTCCTTGGCTCCATTGGAACAGCAGCAGCCAAGCATTCTTCCCAGTGGGACCAATATGGGTGTGGAAGGGGAAAGGGAAAGGGGGCTTGAAAAAGCAGTGAAGAAACAGAATTTTCAAAGGAACCCAAGCTACATCAAGCTTGGATGTTTTTGATACTTTAGATTGAATGAGACTCAGTTTAATAAATTAAATTTGTGTGTTTCAGACATGTACTTTAAAGGGTCATCCAAACAAGGAAAGAGAACAACTAACCTGTTTGTCAGAAGGTTCACTAAAATAAATCTCAGTGTCTCCAACAGAGATCAAAACGCTCTTAGAGCAAACAATGTCATTGTCAAAGCACTTCTTGTTCTGGGCAATTACAGATACATTTGAGTTGTCTGTACTCTGCAACATGAAGAAAAATCATTTTATTTACAAATACAATTACATTTCACTTCAGCAGATAAATTCCAGCTTAAACATCTTAAACTGAAAAGCCATGTAAAGAGGTATCAATCAAAGAAAGCGATTTTAAATCCAGTAGTGTACCTTCTTTTGATTCAAAGCTTAGAGTTAAACACAAAGAACTATTAAATCCATCTTTCAGTCATTTTATATTATTGAGGACTTTGTTCACAATTTGAGGATTAGCCTAGCCTAAAATTAGATTTTTAACTAAATAAGAGTTTGGTTTAGGTTTTAAAAATTGACTGTACACAGAAAAAAAAATCTAATCTTTTAGCACAATATGGTAATCATAGTCTAGCTATGTTATCAACAACAATGAAAAGGAATTTTTAAAAAGCATGCAGTCTGAGAACGTGTTGCTATTGTATTTTCAAAACCAAGAAGTCTACCAACCATTTGTCAGATTTGTGGTAGGCAATAGTGAGATTATCTACCAAAGTCGCTGGAACCCTGAGGAGGGCCCCCTTAAGTAGGCTGTTGCCTGTCGTGGGAACCCTGCAAAGAGACCCTGAGGAGACTGTTACCTGTCACTGGAACCCTGCAGGGGGATCCTGAGGAGGCTGTTGCCCACGGCTTGAACCCTGCCTGGCCCCGCTGGCTGCCAGCTCCAGTCCCATGGCCCCAGGGGCTGAAGCAGAAAATGTCACAGAGGTCTCGTGAAGTCACAGATTTCATGACTTTCATGACCTGCATGACCAGGGCCGGCACTGGCTTTCTGGCCACCCCAAGCAAAAAAAAAAAAAACTGTGGCGCGGCCGGAGCCAGGATGTGCCCTGGCTAGTGGGGGGTGGGGGAGGTAGCAGGGGGAGAGATAGAAGGGGGGCGGCCAGGGCTTCAGCGGGGCGCTGCCACGCGGCCCCTCCCGCCATGCCCCCTGCTGGGAGGGCTCCGCACCACTCCAGTCGGTTGGGAGGGAAGGACGCGGGCTGCCCTGCCGGGCTTGCTGCAGGGTGCTCCCGTCCTCCATGCCGCTGCCCCCTACAGAGCGGCCAGAGCGGAACAACAACAAACAACAACAACAACAAAAACAAACAAACAAACAAAAAAGCAGCCGTGCTGCCCTAGGATTGGGCGGAATGCCGCCTCCTACAAGCTGCCGCCCCAAGCACCAGCTTGCTCGGCTGGTGCCTGGAGTCGGCCCTGTGCATGACATAAACGTAGCCTTACTCATAAGTTATGTAGAGGCCACCAAACAGTCTTCAAACAGTGAAGGCTTGAGAGACCTGATTCTGATCTTGCTTACATCAGTGTAAGTCAGGAGAAACTCCTGTAAAGTCAGATCAGTTCTAGGCATATGCTCATTACAAGCCTGTGTTAGATATGAAACAGTAACCTGAAGATGACAAGCTCTATATCCCACCCCTGACTGAGTCACCCAGTCATACATCCTCCATTTGGACACTGTCTATAACAACTCCTTGAGGCCTCTTTTGTACCCATACAAATACCCTAATTTTTGTTCCCTTGAACATTCTCAGAAAGTACGACTAACTTAATATATTGCGATGCAGCAAAATCTCAGAAGACTCATCTGCTTTCATTAAAGTATTTTACTGTGTTAGCTACTTGAGTTCAGACTAGATAAGAGACACGGGATTCAAGTAAAACATTACTAATGTGTACTAAGGACAGGAAAATTACCGAATTATGTAAGTTAGTAAGTAAACAAACAAAGCATGGATTCTTCACCCCTTCAAGACATTCCGGAGCTTTGCATTTGAAAGCCCTGTCCCACAAACCCACATCTCTGCTGAGATCTCACACATTCACATTCACATCTCTCACATTCACCAACAGACACCTACAATTCCTCCTCCCAGCACTCGGGGTGGGGGAGGGGGGATTGTAGTGCTGTTTTCAGGGAGCCTTTCTGCCTCCACTTTGTTTTTGATCCCCCTTGCCGGTGTGCCTCTTGGGAGGCAGAGACAGCATCTGAAAGGGAGGAGCATAGGACAGAATAGGGGGCTGATGGGACAGTTGGGGCCAGAACGGGAAGGGGACAGAACTAAGGAGGCTAATGGGGAGAGGCTGGGGCAGGGTGAGGGTAGCTGATCCAGGTTCCCCACATCCCTAACAATCCTCCAGTCCCTACCACTGGCTCCAACAACTCTTTCCCCAAGCTGCCCCAGGAAGGCTCTTCCCATCTCATCCACCGACAACCACCCCCTCAGGCTGTTCCAGCTTTTCTCACCCCAGTAATTCTTCTCCAGGGTCTCTCCTCCCAACAGCCATATACACGTCCCCCTTCCACGCTCCCTTTCACAGCAAGCCATCCCAGCAACCCAACTCCCTCTAATACCCTGGGGTCCTCTGGCTCCCCCAGGAGGTCCTTCTGGTTTTTGAGACATGCAGGAGATAGATTCTGTTTTCCCCACACACGCTTGCTCTTAAGGGTGAAACATCAGTTGCTTTTTCTCACCAGGGAGAAATGTTCCGTATGGGACTGCAGAGAACTTGGCAGCTATGGGAAGCAGTCTTGTAATCAATACAAATAACAACGAGCGGCACAGCTTAAAGTATCGTTCTGATCTGAAAAGTCACTGTGTGGTGGGGGTATGCGGGTTTTTTGCTGATCACTGGAAGACACTGCACAGCCCCGCATAACCCCCAGTCCCATAGTGCCCATAGGAAGATACCCCACTGAGCCAGCTCACAGCTTGTGGGGTTTGGGGGTTAACTTCTAGCAAGAGTCTGCTCAGGGAAGCACTGCTAGCTTGATGCTACCTAGGGGCAATGGGGATAGCTCAGTGGTTTGAGCATTGGACTGCTAAACCCAGGGTTGTGAGTTCAATCCTTGAGGGGGCCATTTAGGGATCTGGGACAAAAATCTGTATGGGGGATTGGTCCTGCTTTGAGCAGGGGGTTGGACTAGATGACCTCCTGAGATCCCTTCCAGCCCTGATATTCTATGATTCTATGGCTCTAATTAGGTTCAGGATCTTAAAGGCTATTCATCAATGCAGAGTTATCTTAAATTATCAAAACTCAAGGTAACCCTCTCAAGTTAGCCTGGCTTGAGTGAGAGGAGCCACACTGCAAGTTAACACTCAGGTGATGTTTTCACTGAAAACAGTGATTGTGTGTGTGAGCCTGCGCGTATAAACCTCTTGTGGGTAGACAAATTTGTGCTAGCTGGACTCCAGCTAGTGCACTAAAAACAGCTGTGTGGGTGCTGTGGCTTTGGTGGAGACTCAAGCTATCTACTCGAGCTCAGACCCAGAGGGTCGGGCTGCCACGCAAGCTGCAATGTCCACCCTGTCTATCTGGGCTGGGAGGCACGCTCCCTGCTGCAGCGTAGACATACCCTGATAGGTCAGCCAAGTCGAGTTAAGGGCACCACCACACTAAAGGGTTTTTGCGTATGAACAGGACTTGAGTTCAGGGGGGTGGACACAAGTTATAAAATGAGTTAACTCTGCAGTGACAACAAGCTCAGTGAGACAGAGCAATATTGCTGACCAAAAGCCCAGACAGGGAGCCTTAAGGCTCCCACACAATGCAGAGTTATCTTAAATTATCAAAACTCGAGGTAACCCCTCTAAGTTAGCCTGGCTTGAGTGAGAGGAGCCACACTTTCCTGTTTGTTGGTGTATATATTAGAGATCATTTATGGAAAGCTGCATGGCAGGAATGCAGCCAGAGACAATCAAAAATTGTATTGTTTTGATTAAAACAAAACTCCTGAAATAAACCAGAAATCTCAGAAAGGGCATTCTGTGTTTAAACCTAAGCCTCTTGTGCACCTTCTCCCGCCACTCAAACCCTGACCCTGGCCCCCACTATAAAAATGCCCTTTGTGGGGCTCGATGTTTATTGTGTCACAAAACTTTCAGTATCAAATTTGCTCAGTTAATAAATAAAGACTTTTTCCCTCCCCTAACTGCCACTCCTCCACAGATCTGAAAGTAGCTGGGTTCTTTCCTTCTCACACAGCACCTTGAGTTACACCTGTGTAGTCCCATGACCTTCAAATTCAGCAACCAGTGGCACATGTGCCACCCTATTACTTTCAGTGGGTAAAGCACAGGTGCAACTGCAATTTAGTAAATAATTCTGTTGACGATGCAAAAAAAGAAAGGGGTCCAACTTAGACGGTAATCTCTTCGGCAGACAAACCGCCTTTTTGTTCAGTGTTTAGCACAATGGGGTCCGAGTCCATGACTGGGACTCTTAGGTGCTATAGTAATACAAATAATAAATAATTATTAACAATCAAACTCACTCTCAGTAACCTGCTGTAACAAACTACTTTTGTCACCGATGTTGGTAGATACATCCGAGTATAGACAGGGAGCAGACCTAGTGAATAACAAGGTGTCATTTTTACATAGTCACTTTCCAGAGCAGAGCTACTCTTTACCTTATTAGGTAAAATGTCCACAAAGAGGGATGTGCTACAATCTGTCATGTGAAACCAAGTCACGCTGATAGAAACTAGAAATAAAATGGTTTTCCCACTTCAAGAGAAACTAGTATCTTCCCACATAAATTACCATATCCAGCCTCTTCCAACTTAATATCAGTTTCTTTGTGATAACATGGAGTTGCTAAGCAACGTGAAAGGCAGAGTGTCACGGACCTGGGCACTCAGTCAAAAACTCATTGTCAGTCCTAACTTCTCAGAATGTTCTTTTGCTAGACTTCTCAACTGTACTGTATCCCATGCCATTGAGATAAGGAAAAATAAACTGCTACCACTTCCCAAATTCGTAATAATGCTCGGGAACGTTACGTCTTATTTCTGTCACAAATCTTCAGCTGCCGTCAGTGCCAACTAATAAGAACACTATGCTCATCTCAGAAAATCCAGCCCAATAAATGATGACTTGAAGTGAAGGTTGTTTTTTGGAAGAAAAAAAATCATTTAAATCTATCTGCTTTAGAGCTACATGCTCAAATAACCAGGATTAGTGGGACACTCAGTAATTAACTGATTT